AGGGAGGAGTGAAGGAGGGAAATCTCTGGCTCTGTCACTTTGGGGGGCTTAGTCTTGCTCCCAGGAATCCCTGCCTACCCAGTCAGCTCACTCAGAGGAATCAGATGTTATCAGCACTGCCTTAGGTCAAATCATTCTAACAGTAGGATTGATGAGACTGGGGGGAATTTTGGCAGTGCCCCGGGCTCCATCAGCAGCAGTGGAGCAGAGCCTTTCCAGTTGTTTCTGTGTATAACTCCTTGGTGTAACTGTGACTCTGCTAGCGCACAACCCCATTCACAGTCCTGGGAGTCAGGAATCACAGCGCATATGTCGCTGTGGGACAAGGGAGGCACGCCCAGGGAGAGGCTTGCAATCTCTGGGCTGAGCCAGGACAGCTTGTGAGGAGAGGGTGAAGCTGCTCACATTAGACTCCACATAGTCCTTTGCATCTGATCTCAGGTGAGGAAGCTGGATTTTGTGTTCTGTTTCAGGTGACCCGGAACCATGTGTTCATGTACAGATACCAGAAATGCCAGAATTGACACCTGAATCAGAGGACTGTCTTCGGGTAATTCTGTCTCTTGTTTCTAAAAATGCAGGTCCAAAATGGATGGTGGAATCCATGTCTGGGTCAAGCTTTACCCTATCCTGTATGCACGATCCCATACCCCATGGAGGGAGAGAATTCCCATTTACTGAAATTCCAATACAATATGTCCACTAAGCTGTGGGAGGTGCTAAATATAAGCGCCAGTGGGGGGGCGGGTCCTGGATGGGGTCAGAGGAAGCCATAATAAATTCATATTCTCTCTCTTTCTCTCTCTCTTATATTCACTGTGGCAGTGTGTTTTGCTGTAAGAAGAGGTGGAAAATCTTAGAAATGAACTAGGTATGACAAACCCCTGGTGGGGGTGGGACAGGGACAGGCCAAGCTGTCACTTTGCAGGTGCCAGAGCTTGAAGAGGAGGTAGATTGCAAGTCTGGGCTAAGTCACAAAGTCTTGGTTACTGTGGGGAAGAGAGCTAAGCATGTCTGCCCTGGTACCTTGTGTACATTTACAGTTGTGTGTGTGCAAGGAGAAATGCAATGTCTGTGCTACACACACACTTCACCAAAGTCCCCAGAGGTCTAGGGCATTCAGAGCTCCGGCAGATGTTTTTCCCAAAAGGTGTGCTTGCTGTGGCTTGTGTACTCTCTTCTGTGATTGTTATTTTTTTTTTAAACATGTTCTGGATGGTTCTGATGGCTCAATGTTTGAGACAGCTTCCATAGTTTGTTCCTTTTTATACTATCTTCCAACATGTAGTTCAGGTGATGGGTGGTTGGGTCTGTCCCAGGGCTGTTTGAGTAGGGGTTTAGAGTTGGCAGGTGGCATGACTAGGTGATACCTCTGCTCCTCCCTGGAGCACAGGTCCAGGATTCCTGAGGTCTACGGCTGAAGTTCTTTCTTGTGTCTCTATTTCAGTAGTGATCCAGTACAAATGTAAACAGTTCCGGAATGTATGATGTGAGTATTGCACGTTTCACACCCTTGTTGCAGTCAGGTTGTTTAGGAGGGATGTGTGGACGTACTGGCTTGAGCATGGCTTTGACCTGACACTGCTCTACTTCACAGGTTGAACCCGGCGTCTTCTACCAGAAGAGCAGATGGACCCCAGGAGCTCTGTCCCAGTTGCCTCCCTCCTGTTCCTCCTTAGCCAGAGCTGCTTTTTGTAGAACATTTTATTGAAATACTGTGTACACAGTGTTTGTACAGATACATGTGGCTTTGTTATCTGTTCACACTCGCAACCAACGCCTACTTAAGTACAACGTATTGCTCACTGTTCTCCCTCTCTATTTCTTCTTTTAATGTAATAAAGACAGATATATTGTCACTTATACAGTATGATTCTTTTAAGCAATATTTGTCATAACTATATACCAAACGATATTACACCCACATAATTTTTATACTATTTTATACTACCAAAAATAACAGAAAGCAAGTGGTGTTTGTGCTTTTGGATTTGATTTATTTCACTTAGCATAATGATCTCCATTTGCATCCATGTTTTGTAGATGTCAGGATTTCATTCTTGTAACTCAGTTTTTGTGTACACATACCTTTTTTCTTTTGTTAAAATACTTATTTATTTAGAGAGACAGAGAATAAGGAGACAGTCTGGTTCACTCCTCAGATGGTCACAGAGAGCAGTTTGCATGCCAATATTTTCTGTATAAGGTGAAAGAGCCTACATAAAGTGCTTCCATTGCGTGCTTAAATATGGCAGTTTCTCCACGAAGAACATTGATGATTTGACTTGCAAACCAAACTGGACACCTCATGGAAACTCATTTTTACTTGAAAGAGCAGCTGACACTGGCTATTCCAACTTGAATTTGCCAAAATGAATGAAATGAATCTATCACTCTAAAGTATGAATATTTGTTCCTGGCAATAAAATTTGAGTTTTAGGAAACTTGTACCTTGATATATCTGCAGTAAAGATGAAGAAATCAGTAATTTTATTAATGAATGCAAGTTTTCAGTGTTGCAGAATGAATTGTCAACGCTTCTAAAGTCATAGCTCTTTCAATTTACAGCAGAGCATTTTTTTAGAACTACCTTTCATAGTTTTCATATCCTTGCTTAGGGACCATGCTAGTATCTTCCAATTATAGTATTAATGCAAATATGAGGTATTAGTGCATTCAGTGTTATATTCCACAGTGCTACAAAATTTGAAAGTGCCACTTGGCAAGATTACCTGAACACCTACCTATTTGGGACACATATAAAGATCTCTACAGTAATAAATACACCACTGAAAATAACTCAAATATACCAGAAATATCCAGGCTTCAAAACTTGGGACTTGCTACATTAAACACTTCTTTTTCAAAGAGATTCATCTGAATCCAAATTTTTTCATGTTTTCACCAGAACAGCCTGTCAAAACATTGAATCCAAAAGCAGTTTTTAAGACTTTGTGGCTAGATAGCAAAGATCTGCAAATTGAAACTGCCATGTCAGGTTTTTCGGAGTTTTGTGGTTTTTGAAGTGCAGTTATTACACACTGATGTCACAGCCGTCTCATCATGTGCAAGTACATTTGTTTCCTCAGGACATGCTCATGTTTAAGCAATCCGTGTTAATTGATGTTGATTTATTGGGTCCATTATTTAACACTAACCAATTTATAAATTTCTTTTTAAAAAAGATTTATTTATTTTTTATTGCAAAGTCAGATACACAGAGAGGAAAAGAGACAGAGAGGGAGATCTTCTATCCATTGATTCACTCTCCAAGTGGCCGCAATGGCCGGTGCTGCACCAATCCGAAGCCAGGAGCCAGGAACTTCCCCCAGGTCTCCCATGCAGGTGCAGGGCCCCAAGGCTTTGGGCTGTCCTTGACTGCTTTCCCAGGCCACAAGCAGGGAGCTGGATGGGAGGTGGGGCTGCCGGGATTAGAACCGGCGCCCATATGGGATCAAAGTGTGTTCAAGGCGAGGACTTTAACTGCTAGGCCACCGTGCCAGGCCCCGATTTGTAAAATTTCTAATAGTCAATACTGATATATATATAACTCACAGGTGAGCTTGCCGTTTCAAAGGAAATGGCACCAATGTGATATTTGTATTTTATCAAATTCAAAAAATACAATTTGGAATTTCTGTTTACTGTTGTCAGCCCCTGCCTGTGATACTGGCATCCCATATGGGCATTGGTTTGATCATAGCTGCTCCTCTTCCCATCTAGCTCCCCGCTAATGAACTGGGAAAGCAAGAGCAGACTGTCCAAGTGCTTAGGTCCCTGCACCCATACAGGAGACCACACCGTTCCCACCTCAGGTTAATGTTAACTGGCACCTTGGGAGATAGTAGGGTGACGTACGTGGCTATTGCAGGCACTTGGGAAGTGAATCTGCACATGGGATGTCTGTGACTCTATCTGCCTCGCAAGTATATGCATTTTTTAAAGTCTAACAGTAGTACTCCGATGTTTTCAGGCCATAGGCTCCACTTGAATGAGTGACATATCCATTGAGTGTCTTTAAGAAAAGGGGGGAATGGTAGGGGAAATGAGTTGTTAAGATCCTGAGATGTAGCGGACGATTCAAGTGTTTGGGTACCTGCTTTTGGCTTTTTTGGCTCCAGCTTTTGGCTGGCATACCCCTGGCTGTTGGAGGCATTTTGGTCCTGAAGGAGCAGATGGGAGAGTCTCTTTGAGGTACAATTTACAGGCCATAGAACTCACCAGTTTTTTGCTATAATTATAGTTACAAAATCATTGCTGTAATTTATTTTTTAAGATTTAATTTTCATTGTAAAGGCAGATTTAAAAAGAAGAGAGATAAAGTGCTTCCTTCTGCTGGTTCACTCCCAAAATGGTCACAATGTCTGGAGCTGAGCTGATCCGAAGCCAGGAGCTTCTTCCAGGTCTCTCACGTGGGTGCAGGCTCCCAAGGCTTTGGGCCATCCTCGACTACTTTCCCAGGCCCGAAGCAGGGAGCTGGATGGGAAGTGGGGCTGCCGGGATTGGAACCGGCGTGCTTGCCGGGTAAGGATTTGTCATTCTTACCATCACACCAGAGGCATTGATATAATTCTAGAACATTCTTAGCCCCCCACACCACTCTCTCCCCAAAATGTGTGCACAGGACTCAGGTTTAACTTCTTGGTTGAGAACGAAAAAATCTACAGTTGTGTGCGCATTTGTGTGTGCCGTAGTGCGTGTGAATACATGAACTGGCTGTACCGATGCGTATATATGGACTGGATATGGTCGGCTGTGTGCGCGTGCCCTGCGGGGTCTGCAGCACATACTGTAGTGTGCGCGCCACGTCTACGCACTGCGCACGTGCAGGCGCGCCGTGTGAGAAGCAGTGCGCATGCGGGTGCGCGAGGGTCCGGTGCGTTGCGGTGGGCCGGTGTGAGTCCCGCGCGCACCGTGTGAGGGCGCTTGCGCACACGGGCGCGCGGGTCCGGTGCGGCGCGGAGGGCCGGGCAGTGCGCCTGTGCGGCCGGCGCAGCTTGATGGAGCGCGGTGGCGGCGGCGGCGGCGGGGCCGGTGCCCGAGCTGAGGTGACTGCGCGGGGCACCTTGCCCCTGGGAAGGTTGGCAGAACCCGGCTCGGTGCGAAGCTCGTCACCCGGCCAGCGGCCGTCTGGTAGGGCCCGAGTTCTCCGGGCGCGTGCGGCCAGGGACCCGTCGGGGGGCGGGGCGGGCGGTCCCCCGCAGGTTGGCAGCGGGGGCGGGGCGCCGGGCTGCGCTGAACGCCCTTGCCCAGGCTGCGGTCGAGTGGACGCGGGGTCGGAGGGTTGCTCTGCTTTCTGCTCCCGTCGCGCGGTGCCCTCCTGGGGCTGGCCTGAGTGAGTGCTCTTGCGGGTGGCTTAGGGTGGGTGGCCGGAGTGCGATGAAGGTGTCGAGGCCCGCGCAGGTGCCTTACCGGTGAGAGTGCAGGGCTGTGCGGCGAGAGCCGGCTGCGTGTGGGCAGCTGGGACGCACCGAGCGGGCGGCAGGGGGTCGCCCCAGCCTGTGCGCCGCTGCTGCACAGCTCGGGAAACGGGAACGCGAGGCAGCCGCAGCGCGACGCCAAGGTGGCCCAGCTTGGCGCTTCTCGTCCCGGGAGCGGCGCGAATGGGAGGGGAGGCGAAGCCGCAGCTGCTGGCGGCACGTTTCCGAGCCGCTGTCCCCTCTGCCGAGGCTCCGCTCGGGATTGCCTACGATGCCAGGTGTCGGGCCCGGCCGCGGTACCCTCACGTGGCCGCGCAGTGCAAGACTCTCAGCCCTGGGGCTGCTGCCAGGTAGAACTGGTTGCCCAGAAATCCCGCGAGGCCATGACATAAATTATGAGCACATTCTACAGGATTTGGTGTAGGTTTTGTATTTATTTATTTATTTTTAAAAATTGGTTAATGTGTCATACTTCGACGTTTAATGAGATATGGTGCAGTATTTCAATACATGTACGTGACATAAATAGCAAATTTGGTGCAATAAGCGGTGTCTGAGGGTTCTGATTTTTGACAAAGTGGTTGCAGATAGTGTGGGGGCGTGAACAACGGGAAACTGATTTTATGCTGGAGGCTGTTAACCTTTGTTTTAAGCTAATATGTACGATTTTTAAACATTTTTTTTACTGCAGCCTTAACATGTACCCTGCCCCCCCCAAGCACAGAAATCTTAAATAGGCAATGCATTACTTGTCACACACTAAAGAATAGTTATTGTGTGTCTTAAGATTTCTTTATTTGAAAAGCAGAAGTCAGAGCCATAGGCATCTCCGTCCGGTTCACTTCTCACATGGCCACAACAGCCTGAGGTAGACATCACCCGGTCTCAGGCAGCCACTTAAGAGTATTTTTAAGAAAGTAAACTAGCGTGTAGGCCTGTCAAGTGCCTGATCTTCGCCTTACACACCGGGATCCTGTATGGTCGCTGGTTCTAATCCCTGCAGTTCTGCTTCCCATCCAGCCCCCTACTTGTGGCCTGGGAAAGCACAAAAGCATGGTCGGGATCCTTGGGACCCCTGCCTCAGCCCCCCACCACCACACTTCTGGCTCAGCTCCGACTTGTGGCCATTTGGGGGGTGAACTAGCCAGTGAAAGAGTTTTATCTCTCCTTTTCTATCTCTGCCTTTCAAAAATAAATAAATCACTTAAAAGTCCAGCAACAATCAATACCATGTCAATTAATGCCATAAGGTTATAAATGGCTGTTGATGTTATGTTGGGGCTTTTAATTGATTGGGATGATGCTTTGCTGGCTTTACCTTCAGACCAGAGATGGTCTCACCATGAAATCATTGAACCCAATAGGATAATAAGACACTGGACTTTATGCTTGGTAAATACTTCCAATGAAAGAACCTCAACTGAATTTGAACTGTGGTAACGCAGCAAAGTGGAGAAATCCACCCTGGGGAGAGGGTTGGGGAGGGGGGAATCCCAGTGGCCATAACACTGTATCACATAATGCAATGTAATTAATAAAATAAAATAAAAGTGCAGGAACAAATGGAAAGAAATCTAAGAAAAGGTATTTTAAAATATATACTAATTTGAAAGGCAGATTTACATAGAGAAGGGGGGACACAAAGATCCTCCATCCTCTGGCTCACTCCTCAACTGGCCAGGACAGCTGGAGCTGAGCCGATCCGAAGCCAGAAGTGCGGAGATTCTTTCCAGTCTCCCATGCGAATTCAGGGTCTCAAGGCCTTGAGCCGTCCTGCTCTGCTTTCCCAGGCCACAAGCTGGGAGCTGGTTGGGAAGTGGGGCAACCTGGACAGAAACCAGCACCTTTATGGGATGCTGGCACTTGCAGGTGGAGAATTAGGCTGTGGAGTCATGGTGCCGACCCCAAAATGTTTTTTTTAAAAAAACATATTTATGGAGGGAACACGTTTGTCTCTCTCTTTTTTAAGATTTATTCATTTTTTTATTGGAAAGTGAGATATACAGAAAGGAGGAGAGAGGAAGATCTTCCATCCTCTGGTTCACTCCCAAAGTGGCTGCAATGGCTGGAGCTGAGCCAATCTGAAGCCAGAAGCCCGGAGTCCCCTCCGGGTCTCCGACGTGGGTGCAGGGTCACAGGCTTTGGGCTGTCCTCTGCTGCTTCCCAGGCCACAAGGAGGGAGCTGGAAGGGAAGTGGCCCGGCCAGGACACAAACTGATATCCTTATGGTATCCTGTTGCAATCAAGGCGAGGACATTAGTCACTAAGCTTCCTTGCCGGGCCTCATCTTTGTGTCTTACAAAAAATAAAACTATTTCAATATATACACATATAAAACAAAAATAAATGTAATAATATAAAAACAAATACTTAAATCTTTATATAAAATACATGAATCTTTAAAATCAAGGAATAAATAAATCTTTAACAACAAGTAGAGCTTTAAATAAAATAAGTAAATTTTAAAATAGATACATATATACATGTTTTATATGGGTGGGTGGCACTGGCATCCCATATCCGCACCAGTTCCTGCAGAATTTCATAAATATTTTATGTTAATGATATGTGTGCCTATTTATTAAGTGTGTACTTATGTTTTCATCTGTTTTACTTGAAATTCTCAGTCTTCATCCGCTGGGGAAGGACCCCGAACCCAGAACCCAGTCAGCAGAGGAACTGTACACTAAACGATGAGAAGGGGGAGCTTTCTATTGCATGTGGTTGAGAGTTTAAATAACAGGATATTTAGATGTTTTGCTGAATTGGTAAAAGGAGGGAGGCTGTATGATGGAGTTTTAGTTTATCTGGGATTTAAATTTGTTTAAAGGACTTTGAAGGGAAATTCTTAACTAAATTCTGTTTGGGAACTTTATTGTAGAATTACTTGACAGATTCCTCCACTAACAGCAGCTTAAAACTGTTTCCTTTTGAAATGGGAAATAGGGAAGAACGTGTGTGAAGGTTTAAAGTATTGAACTTGTCATATTTAAGGCTGCTGTGATAAAGCTGTAGCATTGGATTGGGGTGCCGCAATTTGCTCTTTTGAGGGCTAGGAAGGCTCAGGTACTTAGAAACCTTGACTCCTGGAGTTTTATTGTAGTCTGTCGTGGATACTGATAATTTTCCATTACCCGAGGTCTTACTTACATCTGGGACCCATTTCCAATGAGAATTACCCTGCACTTTGGGCAGTCACTGTCGTTTCTAAGATTTTACTGAATGCTGTGAGGGCTGCAAGAGACAACAGAGCCCGAGCTCTTTAGGCTGCAGGATGTGTTGGCTTTCTTAGGGTGTCGGAATGGAGTGACTGTCCTGGGCGCTTTCATGGACGAGGCTGCCTCCTCTAAAACAGGTTCTTCCCCTACATGCATGTGGTTTACTCCCTATTACCCACCAATGATACTTTATTTCCTATAGTTACTTCTGGGATGGAAATTACTGAATGTGCTGTTCTTTGCAAACTGCATGTTTTATATCTGTGATGTTCCGAGTGGAGAATGAATGCTTGTTTTGAACTGCTTAAATATCTATAACCAGCAAATAGGTTAGCTGGATCGCAACTCTCAGGTCAGACTGCGTCATTGCCACGGGAGTTCTGTGTTCCGCTCCACCTGAATTGCCTTTGTCCCCCCTTTTCCCTGTCCCCTCCTTTAGGCTCTTGGGCGAAACTAAGGAACCTCCCTGTCTGTCTTTGTAGTGTCTTTAGCAAAGTACTCTTTATTCTGCCTGTGTTGCATTAACTTTTAAGCTCCAACTGGCCCTTAGCAGAGACAGAGTCCCAATTGCTGACTTAAAGGATAAAATTTGGTTCCTCTTGGTCTGAAGATAAACAGAACCAGGCTTATATCAGTTTAAGGGCTCAAGGCTGTTTTAAACTGACCTACAGCTCGGTATGTGCTCATTCAAACTTGTTAGCATGTCAAATTACATACCTACCAGCCACCTTGACCGGAAACTGGAGACCATGTAAAGGAGTGAAAAGGTGTGATAGCTAGATTCCGGGAAATATTTCTCCTCTTCATTAGAATGTACCTTCCCATTAATAGAATATACTTCCCCTTTCATTAAACAGCTCATATAGTATTAAGCACAATTCAAAGACAGGGCCATTCCCCTCCAAGCAAGCCCCACTATGTAGAGTGAATATCCTCTTTCTCAGTGAAGTTCTTGATACTCGGCCTTCACTATTCTCCAGTTCAGTCCTGAATTCCTTCTTGAAGTGAAGTCAAGGACATGGGTACTGGACAGTCTTCACTGTCCAAGTGTCGATGGCAGGGAACTTGTTTGACATCTGAGTTCCAGTTTTCTCATCATTACAGCGAGCCTCAAAACACTGGGAAATAGAGGGTAAGGCATTATTGTCTGGAAAGCAAAGCCTAAGGCACAGTAAGTGTCCCAGCTGATGCCCATTAGTAGCTACATGCATCTTCTGTGTTAGACCAGGAGTTGAGGACAAAGCATGGATCCAAGTTACAGGTGTCTCCCTCAGTGCCGCTTGGTGCAGAGTTGTTGCATCAGCATCCTGCTCCTCTTCAGAGTTCTTACACACAGTAGGTGTGCACTGTATGCTAATTGAATTATACTGGAGTGTTTGCCAGTTGCATTATGCTGCAATCAGCCTACATTGGGTTGAGTACTCAGTAAATAGGAGTTGAATTCAAGAAATGGACCCGGTGCAGTAGCCTAGCTGCTAAAATCCTCACCTTGGAC